CATTTCCTATTCAAAAAAAAAAAAAAAGTTAAAAAGTATGTCACTACCTTTAGTTCAATATGATTTTAATTTTGAAAAATCAAGATTTTATCCATATATCCTTACCTCTTCCCCTTTGGAAATAATCAGAAAAGCAGTTAATTTTGTAGGAAAGGATAAATTCATCTTTCTGTGCATATTAATTAGATATTGATCCACTTTGTCAAGCTTTAACTATCTAAACATCACTAAACTCAAGAATGTGAATCATACCTAAAACAGTATGAAACTATATATTGCTAAGTTTGTGTTAGGAATTAACTAACCCTGTCCTTATAATTTTTTTTATTTTCTTTTTATTTAAGTAATCTCTACACCCAATGTGGAACTCAAACTCGCGAACCCAAGATCAAGAGTCGCATACCCTTCCAACTGAGCAAGCCAGGCACCCCTAATTTCTAGGAATATTCTTTTATGAATATTTGTGGAGAGATTCATTTTACATTATCATAAGCTGTTTATACTCTACTTTTCAAAGTTTTCTCTTTGCACTAAAGTTTATACTGTTCACATTAAGTTTAAAGAAGATCTTTTTTTTTTTTTTAATGTTTATTTTTGAGAGAAAGCATTTGGCGCATGAAAGCAGGGGAGGGCAGAGAGAGGGGGACAGAGGATCTGAAGCGGGCTCTAGGCTGACAGCAGCGAGCCCGATATGGAGCTCCAACTCATAAACCACGAGATCATGACCTGAGCCAAACTCAGACACTCAACCACTGAGCCATCCAGGTGCCCCCCCCTCTTTTTTTTTAAAGTTTGTTTATTTAAGTAATCTCTAGACCCAACGTGGAGCTCAGAATCATGACCTGGTGATTAAGAGTCACATGCTCTTCCGACTGAGCCAGTCAGGTATCCATAAAAGTTCTTAAACCATCGTTTTTAAGTGGAATTATTGCTTCAAATGCTGGGATTCAGTTAAAATTTCCTATTAAAAATAATAATAGCAGCTGCTAATACTACTGTATATAATGTGTCAAGCATTGTAACAGGCATTTTAGTTTCTATTATCTTATTTAAGACTCAAAACCTTTTCAGGGAGATATCATCATATCCATCATACCCAAAGCAATGAAAAATTAAGTATCTGCTGAGAACATATAGCTGGAGTGGCCAAGTTGAAAGTGGGATATAGGCAGTATGACCCTAGAGGCTAAATTCTAACTCAGTTATTTAAAGTGCCTTCCTTTTACAGTTTTCTCAGAGTGTTTAAGTCATGTTATACTACTAAAAGGGTGCCAGAACTATTTTCACAGCCACCTAACTGGTGTCCTTGTTAGCAGTCTCTTCCACTCAATTTCAACTTCCTGGACTATGGTTGAACAACTCACTCACTGCCTTTAAACATGATACTTCTTTCTGGAAAAGTCTCTTCAACCGTCTTACCCTGGCAAACTTCTAATTATCCTTACATAGTTCAGAATCATCTCTAACACTCTTCATTTTATGCTTCCATAATATTCTGTTCATAATACTACTCAGTTAATAAATACATAGTAGACCACTAGTCCCCAGGCTAGGTACATAGGATTCCAATAGTCCCTGTCCTTACAGGATTTAAACTCTTTCTCTGCAATACAAGGCTTCACATGATATTTTAATATCTATTTATATATCTCTTTCCTCACCTGACTGCGCTTCAAAAGAGCAGGAATCACCTATTACAAATTCCTCCACATGGTATGCACTGAACAAATACTGATTTTATATTCAAATTCTACAAATATAAGGATATCAGACCTCATGGTATTAGACAAACCAAGAAAGCTCAGTCTGAAGTAAAAGAGTATAAATTAGAAAGCCTTTTAAGGAGTTACAATTTTAAAGTTTACTTATTTTTGAGAGAAAAGAGAGAGAGAGAGAGAGAGAGAGAGAGAGAACACGCATGATGAATGGGGGAGAGGCGCAGACAGAGAATCCCAAGCAGGTCCGCACCAGCAGCGCAGAGCCAGATACGGCGCTTGAACCCACAAACCCATGAGATCATGATCTGAGCTGAAACCAAGAGCTGGTTGCTCAGCCAACTGAGCCACCCAGGATCCCCTAAAGACCTGCAATTTTAGTACTTTAAGTCAGTAATCCTAGTTAGGTAATTTTATTTTACCCTTTTAGATTTATTTTATGAACAATTCATAACACAGGAAATGTTCCCATGCAAATTACATTTCAAAAAAACATTTGTTCTCTTAGTTTCTGTATACATTCTTTTTCAGATCTTTGTGTTCTCTTTCTTTTGGACAGAGTACAAAGATAAATTTTATCTTAATCCTGAGCATTGAAATGAATGGCAAAAAAAATAGAACATCAGGCATTAAAAAAAATTTTTTTTTTTAACATTTATTTTTGAGACAGAGAGACAGAGCATGAGCAGGGGAGGGTCAGAGAGAGAGGGAGACACAGAATCCAAAACAGGCTCCAGGCTCTGAGCTGTCAGCCCAGAGCCCGATGCGGGGCTCGAACTCACGGACTGCAAGATCATGACCTGAGCCGAAGTTGGATGCCCAACTGACTGAGCCACCCAGGTACCCCTAAATCAGGCATTTTTAACTGAGATTCCTGAAGAGGTTTGAGAAGGTTCATAGATGCCTGAAATTATATCATATTTTATACACTATCAATTACAAAAATATATAATTCCAAAAATTGTTAAAATATTGTTGTGCCGTTTTTCAGGTAGGGAATGGCATATAGCCTTCATTACAAGTAGGAAAGAACTAAGTTAAGGATATTTTACTTCATTTCTTAGAAATTCATTTACGTAAAAGAAAATGCTTATTAAAACTTATTCAGTGATCAAGGATAATTTCGGATATAATGTTTTGCTTTTAATAATGTTTTTTCTATGTGAAGTAAATTATACATGCAATTTTAAACCTACCGCAACTTCATTAGTATCTCCATGCTCAAAATATTCCTGTATGATTGGTGTTAAAGTCTTCTCAAATGCTGTTTCATCCAAAGGCAAAACTACAGTTTCATAAACACAGTTTTCCTAGGAAGGGAAGGAGAAAAAATTACAAATTAACGAATAAAATGCTAAATAAAATGAAATTTGGTTTATAATTTTATATTCCAGGGCCCCTGGGTGGCTCAGTCAGGTAAGTGTCCAACTTGATTTCGGCGCAGGTCATGACCTCACGGTGGTGAGATCAAGCCACAAAACGGGCTCTGTGCTGGGCACGGAGCCTGCCTATGACTCTCCCTCTCTCTCCCTCTCTTTCTCTCTCTCTCCCTCCCCCTCTCCCTCTGCCCTTCCTCTGTTCACATATACACTATAAATAAATACTTTTATGTTCTAACTGTATATCCCAACGAATTTTATATTCCATCCTCATTCAGGACAAGAAAAAGATGTGCTACATGCTTTGAAAAACTGATACTAAAATAGAATCCATGTCATTTTTTTTTTTTTACAAATCTATGAATAAAACTAACAGTTTAGAACTACTAACCACAGCAAATATGACTTGCTCCCAACCCCCCATATCTTGTTAATTTTTTTTTTTTTTACCTCTCATAATACCAGTCCTTCAGTGACCAAGAAGCTTAAGATGACTTCCTATCATACCTACTGTTTTCATTAAAACTTCACTTTAAAAAAAAAAATGAAGGAACCAAAGATTTCATGATTAATATTATAATAAAAGTCTTTGTAACAAGAATCAATGCTGTAGTGACTAAAAAATCTCTAAGAAAAAGCATTACTCACCAGAAATTTCAAAAAACAAGGAAATTCATGTCTATTAATTTTCTATCTCCCTTCTCCTCTGGAAAAAGGCCAGAAATGTTCATGTGCAACTTGTGACTAGTTTTAGTCTCACTTGAAAGACTGTATGTTAAGATTAGGATATATAGGGGCACCTGGGTGGCTCAGTTGGTTAAGCATCTGACTTGATATCAGCTCAGTCGTTATTTATCTCGCGGTTCGTGAGTTCAAGCCCCACTGCAGGCTCTGCCTTGACAGCTCTGTCACTCTCCCTCTCTCTCTCAAAATAAGTAAATAAACTTAAAAAAAATATTTCCATGTCCAACAATTAGCTAAAACAAACAAGTATATACAAATAATATGCAATAAAAACAATCTATCATATGCCCTGATAATTTCCTATCTAAAATTTTTATCACCATGCAAAGACAGTTCTTTAGAAAAGATATCATAACGTCTGGGATTTGTTTCAAAATAATCCAGAGCATGGGGGGGTGGGAGTGGTGCATGCAGGAGGGATACAAGAGGAAGAGTAAACATAGGTACAGTATAAAATAAGACTGCCTATGAGTTATTAATTATTGAAGTCAGTAAAGCTGGGAGAGGAGTACAAGCAGTTTCATTATACTATTCTACTTTTGTAAGCTACACATTTTCCATTAAAAATATAAATATATAGGAGCTCTTGGCTGGCTCAGTCGATGGAGTGTGCAACTCTTGATCTTGGGGGCTGTACGTTTAAGCCGCATGTTGGGTGTAGAGATTACTTAGAAATTAAGTTTTTAAAAAAATAAAAATAAAATATATGTATATGTTCATTATAAAATCTATTAAAAACTTACATTCTCATCAATGGACCTAAGTGAAATAAGACTGAGAAAGACAAATATCATATGATTTCACTCATATGTGGAATCTAAAAAAGTAAATAAATAAACAAACAAAATAAATCAGACCTGCAAACACAAACTGACAGTTGCCAGAGAGGAGGGGCAAGATTGACGAAGGGGAGTGGGAAATACATGCTTCCAGTTATGGAATGAGTAAGTCATGGGAATAAAAGGCACAGCATAAGGAAGAAAAACAAAATTTACATTCTCATATTGAAGAAAGACATTTATGTTCCCAAAATAAAATTTACCATAAGGTTATCACCCTAAACAGTAACATTTAAAAGGAACCTAATACCTATTAACTCTTTTATGATATTCAAAATAATATCTATTTTTCTCGATTTTCATTACTATAGAAATTATATTAACTCAACAGAATTTACTGAAAAATAACCAGCTTGATAATCCTAAGTGAATCTGTAAAGACCTACTTTTGACTCACTTTAGAAATGAAGGGAAAATTTATCACTATCAATTAAATTGGTTTCCTAATCCAAAATTTACCTAACAGTCTGAGAGTACTGAGTATATGTAGGATTTAGATATAGGTAGTAATGTGTGTGTATACACACGTATGTGTTACACATATGTATACACACACATTATATATATACACACACATACTACAAATCATATATATATGATTGACAGGCACAGAGTATAGATACGGAACATATGACCTGACAAATGTATGAGTAAACTACAAACATGAAGGTGAAAAATTTATAAGCATTTTAAACATGGATTTTAAATTTTTTTTTTTTTTTCCAACGTTTATTTATTTTTGGGACAGAGAGAGACAGAGCATGAACGGGGGAGGGGCAGAGAGAGAGGGAGACACAGAATCGGAAACAGGCTCCAGGCTCCGAGCCATCAGCCCAGAGCCCGACGCGGGGCTCGAACTCACGGACCGCGAGATCGTGACCTGGCTGAAGTCGGACGCTTAACCGACTGCGCCACCCAGGCGCCCCTAAACATGGATTTTAAAAAGAAAGTAAAACACTGATACCTGGTCATCATCATAGTTAGGATCTTTCACATCCACCTCCTCCACATCATATACCTGTCCAGGTGTACCCCAGACACCTTTGCCTCCTGCTCCACCTGAAAAAGTTTAGAATTGAGAAAGAAAAGAACACAAAGTTCATAGTTCATAAAGTTTAGTTGAAATCTGAAATAATTCTAGATATTCAGATATTAAGTAACAGTTAAAAACTGAATTTTAACTTCTATGCTAATTTTTTTCCAGTTGAGTTATACTTTAAATTTTTTACTCAGATCACTTTTTCAGTAATGATTAGATATTATATATTTTATAACCTATTTCCAAAACATCCAGTTGAAATAACTTATAAAGTTAAAACTAAAAAAGGCAGATGCTTTAAAATAAAAGCTTTTTTTGGGGGGGCGCCTGGGTGGCGCAGTCGGTTAAGCGTCCGACTTCAGCCAGGTCACGATCTCGCGGTCCGTGAGTTCGAGCCCCGCGTCGGGCTCTGGGCTGATGGCTCAGAGCCTGGAGCCTGTTTCCGATTCTGTGTCTCCCTCTCTCTCTGCCCCTCCCCCGTTCACGCTCTGTCTCTCTCTGTCCCAAAAATAAATAAAAACGTTGGAAAAAAAAATTTTTTTAAATAAAAGCTTTTTTAAAAGCTTTAAAAAAAAGCTACAGAAAAATAGCTGTATCAGGGACCCCAAGGGGCCATGATACTGTATGTAGCTGAGCTCTAAATTTTATTGGACATTTCATAAGGCCAAAACAACAATATGTTGAGCCAATAAGATGTGGCATAGGAAACTTAACAAGGGAAAAATTATTTAACAAAAAGCAGTTTCCACTGTTAAGTGTTTCAAAGTCAAATACTCTTTTTTTTAAGGTTTATTTATTTGGGGGGCAGGGGGGAGTGGCAGAGAGGGAGACAGAGAATCTGAAGCAGGCTCCACACTGTCAGCGCAAAGCCCAAAGCAGGGCTCAACCCCACAAACTGTGAGATCATGAACTGCGCCGAAGTCGAACACTAAACCAACTGAGCCACCCAAGTGCCCATTTATTTTCTTTTAATTAATTATCTTGAGAGAGAGAGAGAGACAGACAGACTGCGTGCACAGGGGAGGAGCAGAAAGAAAGAATCCCAAGCAGGCTCAGCAGTGCCAGCGCAGAGCCTGAAGTGCTCAATCCCACAAACAATGAGATCATGACCTGAGCTGAAATCAAGAGTCAGAGGCTTAACAGACTAAGCCACTCAGGCACCCCTCAAATACTCTTTAAATATAAATGTACACGTTAAACTATACTTGACAACTGGCAATATGTTACAAATGACTAAGCTATTTAAGCATTAACTGCACTTATCTTTATTTCTCTGTACTTCTATATGCGAACTGACCAGTTGAAGTTTAACAATTCCAACTTTCAAAGTGGTTTTTCTACATAAACTGAAATGTTTTTGTAAGTCTCAACATATTGCATTATTTTTAAAGAATTTTTCAGTATCACCAATTATTTTTAGGTTGTATTTTTATACCAAGAGTATAATCCCTGCCACTAGAACAAAACAGAATCTGGTTACTAGGATTCATTTTTATCCAACCAATGGTTGTAGAGCCATTCAACAAGAATAACAGTTTTTGGCAGATCACAAAAAGATTTTACAAGATTCCTAGGCTACAAATTGAAGTTCCCACCATTCAGAAACTAGTGAAATCTCCAAATTACATCAAAATCCTACCATAGACTAAAACTAACAGACCCCTTATCAACAAATATTTAAATATATGCAACTACTCCAGGCCCTGGAAATAGCAATGAAACAGACCAATCCACTTCAGTTTCCAAAAGAGAGCAAAACACAACTTGGGTGGTGCCTGGCTGGCTCAGTGGGTAGAGCATCTTAACTCTTGATCTCAAACTGTAAGTTCGAGCCCTATGTTGGGTGAGAGACTACTTAACAAAATAAAATCTTTTAATCAACCAACCAATCAGTCAAAGAGAACCCAGAACCACATCTATAAAATTATTCAAATTCTGATCCAGAGGGGCGCCTAGGTAGCTCAGTTAAAGTTAGGTGACTGACTCTTGGTCTCGGTTCAGATCATGATCTCACCATTCTTGGTTCACAAGCTGGAGCCCCTGCATTGGGATTCCCTCTCTCTCTCTCTCCTCCTCCCCTGCTTGCGCATGTGCTTTCAAAATAAACTTGAAAAAAAAAAAAATTCTGGGGGCACCTGGGTGGCTCAGTTAAGCCTCCAACTTCAGCTCAGGTCATGGCTTCACAGTTCATGAGTTCAAGCCCCACATCATGCTCTGTGGTGACAGCTCAGAGCCTGGAGCCTGCTTTGGATTCTGTGTTTCCCTCTCTCTCTGCTGCTCCCCCACTCATATTGTGTCTCTCTCGCTCTCAAAAATAAACATTTAAAAAAAATTTTTTTTTAACGTTTATTTATTTTTTGAGACAGAGAGAGACAGAGCATGAACGGGGGAGGGTCAGAGAGAGGGAGACACAGAATCTGAAACAGGCTCCAGGCTCCGAGCTGTCAGCACAGAGCCCGACGCGGGGCGTGAACTCACAGACCGCAAGATCATGACCTGAGCCGAAGTCGGCCGCTTAACCGACTGAGCCACCCAGGCGCCCCTCAAAAATAAACATTTAAAAAATTTTTTAAAAATTCTGATCCAGATATTAGCAATTCAATTTATATCTATCATGTATTCTTAACAAAGGACATAATTATATTCATTAGATAATTGGTATAATGAATCTTTTTTTTTTTTTTTTTAACTTTTAAAAGTTAAGTAATCTCTGCCCCCAATATTGGGCTCAAACTCATGACCCTGAGATCAAGTGTCACATACTCCACTGACTGAGCCAGCCAGGTACCCCAGGTATGACGAATTTCTGACCCTACTTTTAAGCAAAGTTAGAGAATACATGCACAATTCCTAACTGTACAAAACATCCATGTATATTTTGCTGAAAAGAAAGTTCTGCTCAAGAAACTGAATCTCCTCAAGAAAAAAGGCTCAACTTAAAAACAAGTGGGATGGTCCTCAGATTATTACTTTGTAAAAACATACACAAATCATAGCCTCTTACACCATCATTGTTTAAATTTCTCATATTCCTAGAACAAGGAAACCATAGTATAAGGTAATATTGTTTTGTTTGCTTCTGTGGAAATGGAACACACCAACCTTTCTTTGGCAGTCCCCTTCCTTTCCCAGATCTGGATCGCCTATCTAGCAACCTTCCCTTTGGACTGGTTGGTACAGTTACTCCACTTCTAAGGGCTTCACTTCCATTATCACTGACTGAATCGCCTCTGCCAGAGTCCCGGGATGAGTTTTTCCTCAGGCGCCTTTTTGCCTTGGCATTAATTCTAGCTTCATTAATGGAGGATGCCGAAATCCAATTTCCATTTATCTCATTTTTTATTTCCTCAGTCCCAGCATTTTCTTCATCACCAGAAAAGAGAGAGTCACTTAAATTATCAGGATCTTAAAGAGGAAAATGAAGAAAGAAAATTCTAAGTAAGTACTTTAACCATTCACTGTCATACCAGTTATAGTCATAAGTTACCTTAAGTTGAATCACATGAAATTACATTTTTTAGGTCAGTAACAAGTCACATATTGGAAATTTCACATGATTCAATCTAATAAATGACAACTAAACAGGATTACTTTTCACATTATCATAGAAAATAAGACAGTGAATTTTAATGAGCAAAGTTTAATGTTATCTCATATGTTTAGAAATAAATTTTATGTTAATATACAACCACAAATAAATCCTTTAGACTTCTGTGAGCTAAGGGAGTTAAGCAATTGGAGATAGTAAGAAAAGACTAAGAATCTTGAGAGGAGAGATAAACTATCTAGAGAATGCCTATTATTTATCAGGCACTGTGCTGGGCGTTCTGTCATTTACCCACAAGTTTGAGAACTATTTATTACATACTGGATCATTACTACAGATAAGGAAACTAAGACTGAGAGTGTTTAAATACCTTGCCAAACACCTCCTGATTAATTACAGATACTTAGGAAATATTCTAATCCAAAGAACCTGAAAGATACTTGGCAAATAAATGATCACATAATATTACTGAGCTGAACCACTGAGGCTTCATTGCTCTGAAAGATAAAGCTTGCTTTTAAAGCTTTAATTCACCTCTCCAAACCTGACTTATATTACTTACCATCTTCTGAAAATCTTCCAGCCTATGTAAGATTTGTACATTATCCCCTGAAAGACAGCAACATATCTGGAGTTCCCAATGGTCCTATTTAGAATGTCATCCTCATTGCTGTTCTCACTTATCAAAATCTTTTAGGATATACTCAAGTTTTATTTCCTTCACATAACTTTCCTAACAATTCTAGCCACAATAACACTAATGCCCACACTCTATTCATTCACCACATTACAGAAACCACTTTGTTATTTCTATTTATGCAGGAGTCTTGCTTTTCCAAATAAGTCATAAGCCTCAAAAGAGGAACCATGCCTTTACCTGTACTTCTTTGTACCCTCAGCACCTAACTGAGTATCCTTCATACTAACAACTCAAATGTCCATGGAGATACCTGGCTTTGCTCTAAAAAACTCAGAAAGCTACTGAATTAGGGACCCTTGGGGCAGAGTTTTGTTTGTTATGGCTAAGTCAAGTCAGAGTTGAATCTCTCAAGTGGTTTTAAACATTCCTAAATGTAATTAGGCTGTGTCAAGTCCATGTGTATAGACTTTAACATGTCTTAATACATTGAAGCTGAAAATTTCTTAAGTCAACCTATAAAAAACATAGATGTGTTAAAATCTTTATAATTCTTGACAAAAAAGTATGAAAGTTAAGAACACTGTGATAGGGGAGCCTGGGTGGCGCAGTCAGTTAAGCGTCCGACTTCAGCAGGTCACAATCTCGTGGTCCGTGAGTTCGAGCCCCGCGTCGGGCTCTGGGCTGATGGCTCAGAGCCTGGAGCCTGTTTCTGATTCTGTCCCTCTCTCTCTGCCCCTCCCCCGTTCATGCTCTGTCTCTCTCTGTCCCAAAAATAAATAAACGTTGGAAAAAAAAAAAAAGTTTAAAAAAAAAAAGAACACTGTGATAATCAAAAACAAACAACAACATTAAATAGAGTCCATCATTAGTCTGTGCTTTCCAACCATTCTCCAAACTGCATGGAAATGGATTCTGTAAAACATGCCCCCACTGAAAACCCTTTGAAGGTTTTCCCACTAGTTCAAAATAAAGTTTAAACTCATTATCTTGTAACTTAACATCCTACATAATCTTGCCCCTGCTTATGTCACCAGAATAACTGCTGACCACTACCACATTCAAATGGTCAGAGCTTAGACTGATATCACATGCAGTGATGGAGAGATTGGTTTAGCAGAGGAATACAGAATATATAAGTTAAAAGAGAAAGTATAAAGTGAGAGACCAGCTAAGAAAATGTTGCAATAATTCATTCACTAACTGAAAAGAGCAAGGGTAGTAACTTTGGGTTAAATAAAGTGACACTTAAAGAAAAATAAAGGACTTTTAAACAGAATAAAGAAGCATGAAATGAAGTCTTAGAAGTTTTCAGATGGGAAGTCAGTGTTAGAGGGTGAATGTGAGATACCATCATAACCATCATCATAACTGAACTACTATACTACAACTACTAGCAACAGTCATAGTCACAGCAGTAGTGCAACGTCTTTTGTCATTATCGTCACCGTTGTTACCACTAGGTACCAGGTTCTATGGTAGGCACTCTACCTACGTGATCTATAATCTTCACAAAGCTCTATAACAAAGCTGTTTATCCTCAATTTACAGATGGAAGATGTTTCATAGAAAAGTCACATATCTAAAAAGGATTATGGCCAGTATTCAAATCCACGCTTAAATATCAGATGATTATAACTGTAGAAAATACAGAGCTAGAGTACAGCAGAGTAGTGACAGCTAAAGACACAGGACAAGGGAGTGATTATAAGAGAGAAAAGCAGAAGAGGAAGGAGAAAAAAAAGACCAGAGATCAGACAAGTTAAATGGAATTTCAAGTAAGAGTAGGTAATTGAAGAAAACATTAAACATTTACCTGTAACATACTGCTTTCATTATTCTACAATTAAGGCAAACCACCAAACTCATCCAGAAGATAAAGGACCTCAAATTATAATAAACTGCTTTAAACTGTCCCTTGGAGTCCTAAGTATTCAATTTAAACATCATTTCCTACAATTGGATTTCTTTTCAACTATTTTAATATCCTTTCAAATATGTTTGTATGACTGCAGCAGAACATATCTAGGTATATTTTATATATTAGACCTTATAATTTTTAACTCATGTTTCTATCAATTACTCATTTATATTTCACTATTCATACTTACCTAGGTTTAGGGTTCCATAACCACTATTGATCTGACTTTAAAAAAACCAAAATTCAAAAGATGAAAAATCTCACCATTCAGAATATTTCAAAATCCTACTTAACTCTACAAAGATTAGTCTGAAAGCTATAAGTATATTTTAAGTTGTCTGAAGTTACTCAGCGTTTGGACAAATATTCTACAAAACCATTTTTATGGAAAATAAGGAAAATACCATAGGTAATTTATAATAAATAAATTATTAGGAAAGAAATCAGAGAAATCAATAACAGTTTATATTGCAGAAACCAACTAGTTCATTTGAAAATATTAATGAGGAAGTTCACTATTCTTCTCCATTCTGTAGCACATAGTTTATTATAAACAGTGGAAAGTTAGAATGTATGGAATGTGAAAAGATGGGCAGAAAAGAACATGTGAAGAATTTCTACAAAAATCAGAATCACAAACTTGATTTTTTAAAATAATACAACTTACGTGTAGCATAATAAGATGGCTTTTAAAGTAAAGATGGTTTTAGTATTATGTTTTCATAAAATTTGGTATGACCTCAAACTTGCTCACAATATAGTCAAGGTTCAAAATATTCTTACTTACCTGTGGGGTTTACATTCAGTATCTGCTCATTTTCTACATCCATTGTTCCTTAATGTCACTTGCACTGATTGAATTACTAATGGAAGTCTTCCCTTGGGATCTGTTTCCTTAAAAAGAAAAAAAAAAACCTTCAACATCTTCCAAACTGATAGAATTAAGGTAAATTCAATTTACTTAATCACATTGTAAAAAAAAATAAAACCAGCACATAATTTTTTTTTTTAATTTTTTAGATGTTTTAATTTACCTTTGAGAGACAGAGAAAGACATAGCACTAGTCAGGGAGGAGGAGAGAGGGAGACACAGAATCTGAAGCAGGCTTCAGACTGTGACCTGTCAGCACAGAGCCCAACACAGGGCTTGAACTCACGAACCACCACATCATGACCTGAGCCGAGTTTGGACACTTAACCAACTGAGCCACCCAGGCGCCCCAGCACATAATTTTTTTTTTTAACATTTATTTATGAGAGAGAGAGAGAGAGAGAGAGAGAGAGCGCGCGTGTATGTGTGTGTGAGTGAGCAGGGGAGAGGAAGAGAGACAGGGGAACAGGGGATCCAAAGCAGACGTCACATTGACAGCAAAGAGCCTGATGTGGGGCTGGAACTCACAAACCATGAGATCATGACCTGCGGGGCGCCTGGGTGGCGCAGTCAGTTAAGCGTCCGACTTCAGCCAGGTCACGATCTCGCGGTCCGTGAGTTCGAGCCCCGCGTCAGGCTCTGGGCTGATGGCTCAGAGCCTGGAGCCTGTTTCCGATTCTGTGTCTCCCTCTCTCTCTGCCCCTCCCCCGTTCATGCTCTGTCTCTCTCTGTCCCAAAAATAAAATAAACGTTGAAAAAAAAAAAAAATTTAAAAAAAAAAAAAAGAAACAACAACAACAAAAAAACCCATGAGATCATGACCTGAGCCAAACTAAGCCACCCAGGCTCCCCTAATTTCATTTTTTTTAAATTTTTTTTTAACGTTTATTTATTTTTGAGACAGAGAGACAGAGCGTGAACAGGGGAGGGGCAGAGAGAGAGGGAGACACAGAATCTGAAACAGGCTCCAGGCTCTGAGCTGTCAGCACAGAGCCCAACGTGG